AATCCTTTGAGGCGCAAATAAAGTTTTACTATTCCGATGTATTGATGAAGACAAACAAGCTGCAAGATGAATATATGGGATAAATTTGTGACTGTGATATTTTATTTATTGAACTTCTATGGTACACTCGTTTAGTAAATCTGATATCACATTAGTATTATTGTATTTGCAATTATAATAATATGTCGGCTAGAATACGTATGTGATATAAGTGAAACGTCACTTTAAATTCTCCTAACCTCGACTCCTCCACGACTTCTATTGTCTAGTGACAATGGCAGTGGTTTGAGTGGACTTCTTGGTATTAAGTTACCAGTACATCCCCCTAAAAGTAACATTTCTTAATCGCAATGGCCAAAGCCAAAAGCTTGCAGCAATTTTATGCTCGGGAAAAACAAATTGGAGTAAAGGAACTGGACTGGATCTGAACCTAGTCATTTTGAAATACCGCTGTTAGAGTTCATCTCACTATACGTACGTCGTTTTGTTCAAGTTTGAGTGCCTAATAAAACAGGATATATTTATATCTAGGTAAGCAACTATACGTAGTCTACGTTGAATGCGATGCATTGACAATCGTGAAAGCTATTGTTAGTAGTGCAATGAACCCGGAAACACGAAGAAAAAAACGCAGTGACAATTTCCTATTTTAGTTTCAACATATTGAAACTGAGTTTCTCCATGACAACACAACGGAATGTTTAGCCTGTTTCGTTTCAACTGAGATTATACAATAATACGCAACTAATAATGTGGTCGTGACTAAAAACTTCGTCGTCTCAAAATGGCGGTATCAGAGTACAGTGCAGCTTATACAATTGTAAACATGTTTTGATATATTTGCAAAATTATTGATTTCGTGTAACTCACCTTAAAGATCACAACTACGGTAATCACGTGGCTTTCCTGACAATATAAAATTCGTGTTGGTTGTTCAGTTGGGATAGACACTGTTTGCTGCGTGGTGCCTGCAGTATTGTGAAATTGATTGAACTTTAACCCCCGTCAACTGGTATATGCTAATCAAGGGTACTGTATTTTTTCATGGCACAGTTAATGTGTAAGTAACTACTATTGTATAATGCCGCTTATTATATTTCTGTAGACAACAATATTAGCGCTCAAAGATCGATGTTCTGCCAATTTACTGAAGCCAAAGCAGATACTCAGTAAAACCGCCAGATTAGGTTTTTTTAATCGATAGCTGCCAAGACGCCCTGACACCGTATTTCGCAATAAACAAGTCTGGCAGATGACATTACGAAAGTGAGCCCTCACACATCAAATTTCCGAGAAATGTAGAGAAAAAAGCTCATTGATAAACACGACCAACAGGCTTATTGGTGGTACTGTAGACTAATTAATTTTCACTTGGAATTTATTGAGAGTGAGAATAAAATCCATCAAATAACACCAATATTCCAACAGTTGCACTGGCTTCTAGTCACTTTCAGATCTCATACAACACAGTAATCCTGGTAGAAATCTTCGCTCTAGCAACAAGCAATTACTCAAAGTACCAAAAACCAGACTTAAATCATATGGTGACCGATCATTTTCTTCAACACATTCAAATCCAGATTGAAAACTCATCTGTTTTATCAAGCATTCCTATGAACTGTGAGCGTCATATGGCATCATTTGGCGGATAACAGGTGCCATATGAACTCTATA